AAACAGTCGCGGGCAAAGGCTATTTCGATATATATTAACAAAGTAATGGCACAGAAAATCCTTGTGTAAGTTGCCTGTAAAACGCATAGGAAGGAACGACACCTGCTTGTGTAATGTTTAAAAATTAATGCGTAAACTCTCCCCTATTTCGCCCTGAATATAACCCCGGCTGAAATGTGTAGTCGTGGCGACTTAGTAATGCTGTATGATAATGTTTGAAAAAGTAGAAAAGTTTCTAAGGTTATCCTTAAAACGCATAAACAAAGTTTTTCTTAATACATTATAAGACGTCGCTCCACACTAGGATTTTCTTCTGTGCCGTGTTTGCGTTTACTAACATACAAATACAATTTCGCTTACTCACTACACATTCAAATCCGTTACAATAATTTGTCGATCACTCAAAGAGTTGTTCCATGCGATAATGGAACCTGCATAGCAACCAGTTGCTCTAGCCACTGCGCCAACTTTGCTATGAAATGGATGGAGAACAATTTGCAATCCATTGTGTGTAAAATTTTAATAATTGTGTCAAAAATTCATTAAATTTTCACCGAAAAATGATTTGAATAAGGAAGGACTTTGTGTATAATGTGATGAAAGGTATATATATCAATTATCATTTACAACTTAGTATATGCAATTATTATTACATTATAATTATGAATTTACACTATGAAAGTACTAATCAGTATAACGCGAGTTGCTCTCATCCCAACATAACATTACATTACAAATAACAGAACAAAACACATTCCATAAGCAATAAACACAAAATTGACATTAGCGAAAACATTAAAATCCATATAATTATATTACACCCTGGTTATATGTGTCAACCACGCGTAAAATGTATGCTTTTAAACAATTACGCGCGTAATGGTCCCGTTAAAATGTTTATTGATATCCATTAATGGATTTAATTCTATATAAAATTCGTTTAAAAGTTGTATTTAAACGTTCGCCTATATTCGTGGTGGTAAGATTTTCTGCGATATTTTTCGATTGGAAATGTGAAATTTAGTGATAAATTTATGTGTAGTGTATTTTTTTTGTTGTTGAAAATGTGATTTTTATATTGCTATTGGTTAACAAAGCTACGATACGCCTGATAAACACAGTCTACCGTCGTACACCTCCAAAAATGACAATACTTACGCTACCATTAATATACAAACTTGATAACCCGCGATTTCACACAAACACTTTTATCAAGACATTCAAAACGCATCAACACAGCGATTACAGTGATACTAAAACCATCAAGGACATGACCAGAACGAGAAATGAAGCTTGGATTTATTTAGTGGCATATCAACAGATCCTTCAGCCACGACACAGCCAACCAGAGCCTGTTCCGAAGATTCCTGCAGTCAGCATAGTCAACATTCGTGCGAACAATCGCAGAACGGTGTGTATAGAAATAATTTGTCGACTTGCCCTGTTTCGGTGTGTTAACTTTCCTCTTGTAACTCACGTCAAAATTGTGACATGAATGTTCAAGCGTATTGAATCACGACGACGTATTGTAAGCGTATTAGTTACGAAGTAGGTAAAAAATTGATAGCTTTTTTTAAATGTCATAATAGATTTGTTAAGTAAATCTGTCGATTGCTAAAAAGCTGCTTGTATTAAAACGTACTGTGTAAATTTGTATCGAGAAGGACGAGTAAGAAATTGGTCGTACTGATAATATTTATACAAAATTCTTTGTAGACAGACCAATTAAAAAATGTACGTGAATGTGCAGTTAATACAAAGAAAGAAAATATTATTACTCTGTGATAACATACAAGACAAGAAACACAATCACAGCGCAAAAGGCCAGTTCTCAAAGTTAGTCCATTTATTAGTAGGTGCGCATATAAGAATACAGATTGATCCACTATAGAGACCTTTCGTTGGCTAAAGGCCACAAGAGCTTAAATAGTTTGTTTTTATAATAACTATCGTGAGACATACTAAATTAAGTAAAAATCGCGGGTTACTCACGTTTAAATATTGAGAACTAATAATAGTAGGCTGCGCGACGTCACCGCGTCCGCGCACGCTGCTCATGAGGAAAAACCTCTCTGTGGTTCGAAACTAGTAGAGCTTTTCTCAATATTTACACGACTCTCCCGCGATTTTTAGTTAACTTAAATAGTTTGTTTGAGGATCCTCTAAGCGATCACAAGTTCTGAAACGGGTTCCTTCAACATTTACTTGAGCCATCTTCAACATTATGAGACATACTAAATTCACAACGGGACTCCCGTCGGTTGCGCGACGTTGTTGCGATGCGTACGCTACTCGTGAGTAAGAGTCCCGCTGTGGCTTCAAACTAATTGAGCTTTGCTCATTAAATTCAAGTGCGTAAGACATCATCTGTAATAATATTATAAAGAAGTAAAATTTGTAAGTTTGTTTGTATGTAGGGGGTAACCTTTAGAATTCATTCACTGATAGATCCTAGACCTACAATGTTAACACATTCAGTGCCCCCGACGCGTATGTGCGTTTCCTCGCACGCACATACGCGTCGGGGGCACTGAATGTGTTAATGACTGCTATACTTGATTTGTGTATTTCAGTCAAGTTATCGTTTTAAACGCTGTTAATAAAACCCCGGGCTATATTACTTTTAACGCGTGCAAAGCCGTGATCGGCAGCTAGTTTTCAATAAACAATGATACTGTTTCTGCACGGATCTGTATTTCTTTATCTGATAAAGATGCTGGTGTAGTCTGGTCAGTCAAAGCGCTTACATTACGTGTCGTGTGCAAATAGGCTAAGTGTGTCTAGATTCTAGAAGGACGCATGGTGTTTTAGTTTCCAAGATCAGTTTGGTCTTTTTGACCTTAATAATAGGAACATCAAAGTTTAGCAAATTGCTCTGACTAATACTACTGCTGATATTCTTTTCTCTCTCTCTCACGGTTTTGAAGGATTTATTGAGTGTAGCATTAATTGTTAGTCGTTTTGTCAGCTTGTAACTATTTCACTATTGGATTGGGACTCTTCTTACATGGTGAAGGTTTCTGATTGGCTCTAACGATTGTCAAAGGTGTGTCTGTGACAGTATGACCCAATAATTGATTACACAAAGCAAGATAATCGGGATGTCGATTTTTATCATTAGTTTTGCATTGGGGAAGGGACAATCTGGATATTTACAGAATTTGTAACACCACTTGTGTGTAACTTGGAGACATGCATGGCAATTGACGCGTTAGAGTAACTATGGAGAGATGAATATTTGGTCCTTTTTGCGTAATATTTTTTCGTAAAAATTACTTAATGGATTTTGATTAAAATTAGCAGATGTAGATCATATTCTAGAAAAACACTTCTCAAAAATGTGAGAGAATATTAGTCAAAGCATTTTGGACTTCTTTACTTCGAGTTAAGAGCATGAAGCAAGCACTAATGTTCACTAAGACTAAAAACGAGCCCATGTATAACAATATTTACAATTAACAAACTTATTTGAAGACTAATCTATGGATTTATATTAAAAAATATAACTATTTTTGCCCTCAACAGACAAACTGTGTCGATTTTCAAATTTACATCTTCAAAGACTTTAAATAAGGTTGTTTTTACTACTCCTAGTGTTGTGGTTAAGTTGTTATAGCAATTTATGTCTATTCTCACGTGATTGTAACCCGTACACTTAGTTTTTGGACTGTGTCACTAACAATAATATTTACTTTACATTATCTATCGATATTTACCTACCACGTGATTTTTACATTACCCTTTTTTCTTCGGCTAAATGATTCAATCGATTTTAAACTCTACAACATATGTATTTGGTATAATAATAAAATAACATTGGTGATAAAATAAACTCGAAAACGACTTCGAAACAATGGTACTTAAGAGAGCGCGTACGGCTGCGATGACAATGAGGTCGTTGACCCCGCATTTTTTGATCATCTGATATTGTGTGCTAGTCGAATATTACCCAAACATTTTTTTTAGTTTTTTTATAATACTACAAAGGACAAATCATTTTGCCGTGGGAAATATATTTAAAAAACCATTACAAACACTTGTATTAAAATCATCATGAAGAATGTGTATGAAATCATTCTATTTTCATTACAGTACATAAATCACAATTAATTTTATACATAGTATAAAGTACATATAAATAAAGTTAATATATTTAAGTTCTATACCGGATGTAAGAGACAGCGTCACGCAAACTGATAGGGCTTGCTCAGTCAACGAAACTGAACAACTATAACCAGGTACTTTTTTTAGGAAACGAAAAAGAAAAAATTGATTTTCCATACAAATTGTCTGATCGAGGTGATCATTTTGATCTTACACCCAGTATTATAAATTATTAGTTATACATACATATACATACCTTACATATTGATTTCTTAGACAGGCTCTTGGGTTCTATTCCCGCTGGGGTCAGATATAACCTTAATTATACAAATTATTAAATTATAGATTTCGTGAAGCCGCGGCCGAGCGCGGACGTGTTGTTCCTAATTTATTAGTAAAATTGGTCAAAAAAATTGTGATGTAATTCATGGGATATTGACTCGTAATGTTTTAGTGCAACAAGTGATCTAAATACCATAGTGGAGTGAACTTTTTTGCTACATCTATTCGCGAGTGCACCATCGCGCGAGCTAAAAAGACTGAGGTAGGCTCTTCCTCACCTTGGGGGAAAGAGACAGGCTCCGCGCGGCAAATAAGTTCGTCCTTGTCACACTACAGCGAAGCGGGAGGCAACCGACGACGTTGCACTCACACATCGAAGTATTGTTTTGAAGTAAATTTTGAAAATTAAAATAATTATGGCGAAGCAGTGCAACGCTTGCAGTTCTGCTATTACTGATAGCTTTTTTATGAAATGCTCGAATAATGCATGTATGAAGGAGTACGATTTAAAATGTATCAAAGTTAAGCAAGATGTATTTAAGTCTTTTACTTTGGAATACAAAAATAAATGGGTATGCCCTGAGTGTATCTGTTTAAACCCTAAACGAGGTAACATGGACACACCGGTTAGGCCGGATATTAGTAGAATGCATAATACTGTGGCCACTACACCGGATAATGTAAATACCCAGCGTGGAAGCCAGGCGCAATACTCGCCGACAATTATAACAGCTGATGACTCCGTGTTGCTGGGTGAACTTCGGCAATTCCGTGAGGATATTTTGTCTCGACTAGATTATCAAGCGAACGCTATCTTGGTAATGCAAGATCAGTTCACGCAAACAAAAAATGATCTTGATAAGTTAGTTAAAATAATGACGGTGTTAGAACAAAAAATTAATCTCGAATTGGTTCGAAATGCTCAAAATGTTCAAACTCAGGCGCATTCCATGGCAGCTAAACTAACGAAAGAGGTACCGACGACAACACAGTCATCATTTGCTGAAATCGTTGGTCAAAATAAGCCTAATAAACCTAAACCCAAACAACAGGTGACTTCCCTACCAACTACAAGTATGCACAGTGTAAACAAACGTGGGGCCATGAAACCAACGGGAGTGGAATCGCAGACAACTACTGATAATAATCTTTCATTCTCGGATAATGTTGAACAGTTGAACCAGGAGGTGGAAATTGGTTGGACTACTGTACAAAATAAAAAACCTAATCGTTTGCCGAAAAAGGTGACTATTGGGAAAAATACGGAAATAAGCGGAATAATGGCTATGGAAAGGAAAAAATACCTACATGTATGGCGTCTACATCCTGAAACCACGGTCGAAACATTAAGCAATTATATCGAAAATCTATGTGGACCTGAAGTGTCTATGAAGATCGAGAAAATAAAACATAGAACACCAAGAGATTACTCGTCTTTTGTAATAGGAGTTCCTGAAAAATACTACAACATATTAAATAATGAAGAAGTATGGCCATTAAATACCGAATTTAACGAATGGACTTGGTTTCGTAGACAAACTGCAACCCTCGATAAGTAATAGCGTAATTGAAATATACTACCAAAATGTTAGAGGACTTCGAACTAAGCTAGATAACTTCAGAAACAGTCTTGAATCTTCCAACGCGGACTTATTTGCTATTACTGAGTCAGGCTGCAGTCAGTCAATACAAGACGCTGAAATTATTCCGGGTGGATATACACTGCTACGATGTGATCGAGCGGATGGGCGAAAGCAAGGCGGCGCGATTCTCGTGGCCACACACCGGTTCGAGCTGCGACAAATACCTATAGTTGAAGCGTCGATAGACAACTGTGTTTTCGAAATGATATGTGCCACGGTACATTTAAATAAACGTTTTTTGTTTGTGTGCTGTGTTGTCTATATTCCACCAGGTAGCTCAGAAACAGATTATATGTTATTATTCAGAATTATAGAAAAAATATGTGATAAGTATGATGAAGTGTTGGTAGTTGGTGATTTTAATTTGTTCTCTTGTCCTGTTAATGTTAATAATTATTATGAATGTTTTTTATCTTATTGCGAATTCACTCAAAGTAACGCAATACCTAACTGTTTGGGTCGGCAACTAGATTTGGTTCTGAGTGCGGGCATTAGCGGGGTGACGGTGGGGGCGGCGGATCACGCGCTTGTGCCTGTGGACGCGCACCACCCGCCGCTGGCAATCAATGTGCGCTATGCGCATACTCCCGCGGTTTCGGCGGGCCCCTACAGTCCGAAGAATATTAGTGCGCGCGATATTAGACCGAAATGGAATTGGAATAAGGCCGATTTTCAGTTGCTGTATTCTAAGTTGGTTTCTATAGATTGGAGTTCATTGTATGAAATGCATGATTTGGAAGAAATGTTGAACTTCTTTTATGATAACATCAATAGTTTAATAAATGAATGCGTTCCACAGAAAAAACCTAGTAATCATAGTTCGCGATTCGTATACCCTATATGGTATACGAGCGATATAATAAAAAGTTTAAAAATTAAAGGTAGATTTCATAAACAATACAAAAAATCCAAGTTGCATAGTGATTATATCAAATTTGCAGAGTATAGAACTTATATTAAAAAAAATATAGAAATAGCACACAGAGAACACAGAAATAAAATTCAATTTCAATTTAAAAAGGATCCGAAATCGTTTTGGCAATATATCAGGTCAAAAAAATCAACATTAAATAAGCATACTATCGTAAAAGAAGGTCAACATTTAACGGATGAAGAATGTGCGCAGCAGTTTGCTAATTTTTTTGAGTCGGTTTATAGCAAGGAGCCGCCCGTACTGGACGCATGCGCGGCGTTAGCAGAGGCTGGCGCAACTAGTGCGCGGGTGCATATCGAGGCGTTAAGTCTAAAGGAGGTTCAGAAGGCGCTTGGAAATTTGAAACCGAAACGATCATCTGGTCCAGACGGTATTCCACCGTTTCTATTTCGAGACTGTGAAAGGGTGTTAGCTGAACCATTGCTACACATATTTAATGCTTGCTTGGCAAAGGCTACATTTCCCTCAAGGTGGAAGACCACACGCGTTATCCCAGTTCCTAAAGGGAAAACAGGTCCTGATATTTGTAATTATAGACCAGTGGCGGTACTATCGACGCCTGCTAAAGTACTAGAGTCAGCTATTCAGCGTTCCGTGCAAGGGCAAGTGCGAGCGTGTTTGTCGGATGCACAACATGGTTTCAGACCGGGACGGAGTACTACGACTAACTTACTCAACTTTATGGTGCAGGTGGTGCCGTCAGTAGACTCTGGAGCTCAGGTGGATGCAGCGTACTTTGATTTTCGGAAGGCATTTGATACTGTCGATAACGACGTTTTATTAAGAAAGCTTGCGAAGGTTGGATGTACGCTGCCTCTACTACAATTTTTCGCTAGCTATATGAAGGACCGCCAGCAGTATGTGGATTGCAACGGATGTGAATCTCATCCGTACTATACTAGGTCAGGCGTGAGCCAGGGTAGCAATGTCGGGCCTCTGGAGTTCATCATAATGATAAATGACTTACCGGAAGTTGTCAGGTACGGGAGTTGTTTATTGTTTGCAGATGACCTGAAGTTGTTACTCAAGGTTGAAGATAGTTCGGATTGTGAACGCCTGCAGGATGATATAAATCGAGTGGTTGAATGGAGTAAAGTCAACAAACTTCGCTTCAACGTAGACAAGTGCTCAGTGATGTCATTTACTCGTGCTCGGGCTCCTTTGTATCATCAATACATGGTAGAGGACACAGCGATCCAGCGAGTGTCACAGGTACGAGACTTAGGGGTAGTCTTCACTCCAGAACTTACCTTTCGTGAACATATCAATAAGATATGTAAGAAGGCTTACAGGAACCTGGGTTTTGTACTCAGACAAACTCAGGGGTTCACCAACATCTCGACGCTCAGGGTATTGTATGACACATTAGTACGGAGTCACCTCGAGCACAGTGCAGTTATATGGGCGCCTCACGAGGCGAAATACAGTGTCATGTTGGAACGTGTCCAAAATAAGTTTACAAGACACTTGTATTCTAAACTTTATGGAGTTTATCCATTTTACCCTCTCATGTACCCTACTCTCTTTGTTTTGGGTATGGTAGGTTACAACGAGTTAAGGGTGCGGAGGGACTTTACGCTGGTAGCGTATGTGGTGAAGCTGCTGCGTGGCGTAGCGCATAACCCGGGAGTGTTGAGACACCTGCAGCTATGTGTGCCAGACCGATATGTGTGGAGACGGAGACGCCCGCCTCTCCTCGCTGTGCCGGCGGCCAGAACCAACTTACTGGCAAGGGCTCCTCTCACTAGAGCCATAAATGTAGTGAACAAAGTTCATGAAAGGGTTGATGTATTGTGTTGCAAAGTGGGTGAATTCGTAAAAGTCACGTTGTATATATTATGTTTTTCAAATGTTAATTAAGATTGCTATATTATTTTTTATTTTATTTTTATTATTGTTATTTAGTAAGTAGTTGCACTGCTGATCTCGTGACTATAGTGTCGACAGTATTATATTATTTACTTTTATAGATTAATGTTAGGTTTTTTAATGATTAAGTAATTAGGTACATACTCTTTGATTAAGTTAGTTATGTTATAGGTGGGTATGTGCATTTTTAGTTTAAGAAGACAGGTAATGTTTTTTCTTATTTTTTTTTTTTTTTACTTTGTATGATTTTAATCCTAAAGTTTAGTTCATAATTAAGGTGTTGTATGATTTCTTTTTGATTGTGTTATGTTGGTTTAAATTAGTAAATAAGTTCTTAGATTTAGATATAGGCCTAAGCTATCGCATTGGAGAAATCTGTAATGGTAGTATAAGGTAAGATTTTTAAATAAATAAATAAATAAATAAATAAATAAATTGCGTAAGTGAGCATTATATATTCCATTATTTGAATTTTTCCTACTTTTGTAATTAAACATATTACTAATTATATGAAAATGCCTAGATAAAATACGAAAACATTAATTAATTTATTATTACTCATATACATATACAATTAGTTATATTGACCACATGTTATTGTTTATAATATGTTAAATAGAATATACAAACATACATACATTTAATTCTATTGACTTTAAATTATAATATGTTTTACCAAACACTATATCTAGCTATATTTTTTAAAAATCAAGCTGTACTTGTAATAATATTGTATCTATTTATAAAAAAAAACACCAATGAAATAGCAAAAAAAAAAAATATGACACGCAATTCTGACTGGTGAGAATGCCTACGGCATTAAGTCCGCCTATGTAATGTTTTGTTGCATAAAGTTTAAATAAATAAATAAATAAATTCTGCAACATATTCTGAAACACAAAAATGTCATTAAGATCTCTCAGTTTTGGACCGCTGCTGGACCTCTTCAAGAGCTCACTACCATGTTCGATCTTCAACTCTTAAAACAACACACCCTGTATAGAGTTTGGTAAAACATATCCAGGGTGGCAATTAATTGGTAAAGGAAAGCTTAGAACATTATAGAACTATTCATGAAAAATAACGTATCCAAAAAAGAATGGAGTTCCAAACTCATTCACTTCAATCATATTTTCAATGCAAAGTAATGGCCCGTTTGACTATTTTGCTAATGATGAAAGGATCGATTTTTAAGTTATCTGAAATTTACCAAAATTGGTTCAGACTTTGACGAGTTTAGCTCTCACATTTTGCGATTCATTATTTTATATGTATTCGAAATACGAAACGCTTAGTCGTTTGAAATTTACGCTCCCACGCTTATAATTTCGAATGACCTTGCTTACTTTGGGAAATTGCTTTCTCTTGCTAAGCTATCCTTTACCAAATTAATATAACTATATTCTATATTTAACAAAATATCTACATTTAAAATTAAGTCACAACAATACATTTAAAAATAATTTATAAGATCAACACATTTGAAACAATAAAATACATTTATAATGACACACGATTTTCATTTCAAATGACCCCTGCATGTATGTAGCACTTGTTTGAAGATTGGCACAGCATCTTGCCAGCACTGTGATGCATACCTATATTTCCTTCCTAGATTTAGAAAAAGACGAGAACAATTTTCGTTTTTTTTTTGTGGTGTCTCCATATGAAAATTCCATTCTGTAAACATTTTGAAATCGTTCGAATGTTTTTAAACGACTGCCCGAAAGTGTCTTGTATTTTTAGGTTAACGACCAGGTTGTGAAGGTGTGTTTTAATTGTTAAATATTAATTAAACCTCGACAGACCAAAATAAAAAAAATAACTTTAAAATAGACCTTTTTCCTCAATTAATAATCAATCTTAAGCTCTACAAATCTTTGTATTCGTCGTTTTTTTATATAACCTATTTTTTACAACTAATTATATCAAAAAAACTAAATCGATCCAAATATTCAGATTCAGCCTGAATTTGACCAGTTACTAGGATTTTTGAAATAAGAAAACAATTATTTTTGTTGCCGTCTCCGTGCAGTTAATTAGTCATTGTCCGAAACGAAATTATTTCAAATTTACTAATAATAAATGATGCCAAAAATATGTTAAAACGTATTTTTTATCAGTTTTCAGAGTTAGATGTTTTTGAAAAATAAGTGTTTAATTGTTCACTGTTACCATTACGCGTGGACACTCAAATTATCGTACTAATCTATAAATTTAAAATGTTGGTGATATAATATGTATAATGATAGTAGTGAAGTAAGGTGTAGATATTGTTTGATAATATATAATATTTAAGTATATAGCTAAGTGTATTTTCGTTTATTACAGACATGGACTACGGCAGTGGAGGTCCTCCACCTCCAGGTATGATGAAGGACAGACACGGACCGCCACCTCCACATCATCCGGTAATTATACATCTTATTCTTATTGTTTATAATTGCCATATTAGCTACTGATTCGTGTTACAATACTCAAATATATATATATATATAAGTTACTATCATTCTCAGAACTAATAAATCCTTAATTTATATATCCATAGAGTTTATATAGAAACACTCTTTTAGATTGTCAGTACGCATATGTGAGCGCCATGTTCGAGACGACAAAGGATTAAAATTTTATGATAGATCCCATCATTTGTTTTTTTACAACTTGTCACTGCATTGTTCTCACATAAGGGTACAATAATGTATACTAAATGTTATATTATTGAAATTGTAAAAAAAAAATTCAAAAGAGAAACGATGGGGTTTCTTTTTTTTTTTTTATGTGATAGGACGGCAAACGAGCAGACGGATTACCTGATGGTAAGCAATCGGCGCCGCCCATGGACACCCGCAACAAAGAAGGAGTTACCAGTGCGTTGCCGACCATTTAAGGATTGGGATTTTGGGGATTTTGGGACTGGGAAGGGATTGGTGTAGGGGAAGGATTGGGCCTCCGGTAACCTCACTCACACGGCGAATCACAACGTTGTGGTTGTTTCACGCCGGTTTTCTGTGAGGCCGTGGTATCACTCCGGCCGAGCCGACCCATTCGTGCCGAAGCATGGCTCTCCTACACTTGCTCGTTCTTCTCCATTTGAATCTACAATTTGGAACGAGCACCTAGCTTCACTGACGAACAGACAGACTACTATTCTATTTTGACGTTTCAAAAGTACCTACTTATGGTTTAGTTGGAATAAATTATTCTGACTTTCTGCGTCGTTGGATATCGTATACTCAACCTGGGTTATTGTGACCAAAAATAACTTATATGTTTTTTATTCCTCAACACATAATTTTATTAACTTTAGCTCAGTGGTTTTTGTGTTTGAGTGTAAATTCTTCTCCATTGCCTTTTTCCACGTAAGATGGGATCAGGTTTCCTTATCCTTAGCGTAGTCGGGTCACACATTTGAGACTTTTAATTAGATTCTCCATACAAGACTACCAGGTCAATGGCAGTTGTTCTATACTTTATTTCCTTGGCCGTCCAAAACCGCTACAAGCATATACTGCATTTAAAATAACAGCTATTTTAATTAGAATTTAATGGAATGTTGTTTATTTTTCAGCGCGAGCGTGGCTATGGACCGGAGGGCTACGGCGGTGAGGGATTTGTTCCACCACCGCCCATGCATCACCCATCCATGCCTCCACAGAATCAGGTACATAATTATAAACTCTAATAGGTTCTCAATAAATTTGGAAGGGATTCAAATTAGTCTATACTAGCGACAAACCGAGTGGATGTCGACTTTAAAATTTTCTCTAGGTAGAAAGAGAAAGAAAGAAAGAAAGAAAGGACTTTTATTCAGCACCAGGCACGATGCACCACAAAAAAAGACAATAAAAGTGTGACAGTAGAAGTAAGACAAACATGAGTTAAAGATTAAAACAGAAGAAACATGAAAATAGACGCTACAACATGCTGCATGCATATCAATGGGTTACCCACTCAGAGTAAGCTAGGTACAAACCTTTTCTGGTCTTCCACGAATAATTCAAGACCATTAGCCAAATCGGTAAAGGCATTATTGAGTTATAAAATTACAACAAAAAGTGGCATTGATTTTTATGTAGTAGCATAAAGTTGATTAATTATTTTCCCTGCTGGCGCAGGGCGGGCCCCCGCAGCAAGGCGCCGTGATGATGGTATATGGGCTGGACCCCCAGACGGTGAACGCTGACCGACTGTTCAACCTCTGCTGTCTCTATGGAAACGTTGTCAGAGTAAGTATCAAATTTAAATCAATTTTTTTTTTGTATACTTAATTAATCTTACATTTGAAGAAACAAGACTCTTATAGAGACTCGCCGATGAACAGACTGACGGACTATTATTCTATTTTGACGTTCCATAAATATCTACTTGTGTATGGTATTAATTGAAATAAATCATTTTGACTTCGACTTTAATAAGGGGCGACTTTAATAAAGGGATTTTGTTACAATTTTAAGTTTTTAGTCGCTCAGTACAAAATGTACTAAAAATCTTGACGTTTAATAGTGTTTCAAATCAATCTTTCGACGAAAGTGTTTGTAAATGAAAAAGAGGTAAAACGTGTAAAGTTTAAAGGATTTATTTGCTCTTGAATACAGTTACATAAAAGGTGTTACAATAATATCAATAAGTTCAGTATTCAGTCATAAGCTAATGACATGCAAATGTTTGTTTTGATAATATTAATACATTATTTTGGAAATCTATATTGCAGAAAATCTTTTATAGAGTAGAAGGGATTCTCAATTAGCCATACACGTAATGCCCTTTTTAAATCGAGTAATTGGCAACTCTCGAAGTTGGACAGGAAGTTTATTATAAATTTGGATACACATGGGGAAGCAATTACGTTTGTATAGCTCGGTTTTCATACTAGGAAGACTTAATTTAGTTGTATATCTAGTTTTGAAGTTACAGTAATCTCCCACTTTTTCAAATAGCTCAGGATGACACTTAGTAAATTTACAGATTTCTTCAATATAAATACAAATTACGGTTAGAATCTTAAGTTTCTTAAATAATAGTTTGCATGATGTAAGTGGGTCCACATTACATATAGCACGTATACATCAGTATGTATAATGTTATTTCAAGAATCTTAAATGTGATTTTAAACATCAAAATTATACAGTAAATATTTTACTACAATTTTCAAGGTCCAAAACGAAAAGGAAACTCATCAACAATTATCCCTTTTTAAGCCTTTGACTGCCAACAGAGAATTATTGAATGCAAATCCTCCACTACCGAAGGTCACCGGTGACACAATTTTTGTCATAGAAAACATTAAATTTGTTTTTCTTTATTATTTCAGATAAAATTCTTGAAAACAAAAGAAGGTACGGCGATGGTCCAGATGGGAGACGCGGTGTCTGTAGAGCGATGTGTCCAGAATCTTAACAATGTCACTGTCGGCGACTACACGTTAACGTTGGCGTGAGTATATGTTACCGTAATATTGTATTTTTTATATTTTTGAACTTTTAAAGAATTGTTTTTTATGAATTTTGGTCTCTTTTGCTCCACGCTACATTATTGGGTTGATCCCCATCTGTAGTGATCTGACGGTTCTTTAAAACGTGACGCGCCGGAAGGTCGGGTCTGGTTCTGGTCAGGCGGTGAGCTACCCTTGCTCATCGTCCACAGACCGCGATCTTTTCCTATGGCAACTGTTTTTTATAGAATAGGTCGGCCAAAAAGCCGTCATATCACCTAATTGTAAGCAATCCCCAAACACAACTGCAACATTGCATAAAGATCGCATTTTGAACTTTCAAATTTCAAAAAGCCCTTGTAGCAGTGATGTAATTTGCGTTGAAATAAAACAAGAGTAGAAGTGTAGAAATAGGAGCGTACATATTTTCTGTTCATACATTGAGCTTAAGTACAAAATCTCGGGGGCTGACGTAGTGGCAGTAGTGCTATGAAAGCGTCGCGCGATTGTCCAATCAGAACGTGCCTCTTGTGACTCTGCAAGTAGCTAAAAGAAACGAGAGAGGTGCGCGCGCGAGCGAGATAGCACTTACGTAAATATAACGCGTTCGCAGCGCGTGCGGTCTTCATTTCAATGCGATGCGTGACTTGAGGATGATGTAGCGATGCGTACCTCACACCCTAGAATGCAGTATGAAATCAAGCACAGTTTTGTCATTAACATGCTGACTATTTTCTTTTACAGTTTCTCAAAACAAGCGTACCTGTCAGAGGTAATGAACCCTTACCCACTTCCGGACAAGAGTCCGTCGTTCAAGGATTACGTTGGCAACAAGAACAACAGGTTCCTGACCCCTGCCTCCATACATAAGAACAGAATACAGCCGCCTTCCAAGGTAAGAAAGTTCTTAGAATATGATTAGACAGATTTGTATGTGGTTTTTTTGTGAGGGGAATATTCAAATGACGGTCACCCGCCCAAGGCCGGTCGGGATAGTGTCAGGCTCTCCCTAAAACCCCCTATTCCTTCTGCTGCTCTGGGCCAAGGCAGCGGTGCCTCATTGCGCTGACCTCTGAACGCCGGCTGAACATCAGCCCTATAGGGCCCCGTCTCTGGTGGCTCTTTTAAGCGCGCGCAGAACGCTACGCGCCGTACGCTCGGGTCTGGTTCTGGTCGGGCGGCGAGCTACCATTACTCGCCGACCGCAGACCCGGTGTATGAATGTCTGTGGATGTAGTGATGTAAGGAAGTACGGATGTTTGTCTACATAATGATACACGAAAAAAATCGCTGGAATAAAATTTTTGTAATAGGGTATTATAGGCCACTTCTAAATTCAAGGAACACGTGGGAATCAACTATTTGAAGCTAGTTAGTAGGACTTGTAGTAATTTTGTGATTTTATTTATTAATCAGGTGCTGCATTTCTTCAACACACCGCCGGATGTATCGGATGATCAACTTCTCCAGGTGTTCAAAGATTACGGTGTCACTCCACCACACACAATCTCCAAGTTTCCGCTGAAGAGTGAAAGGTAAGTTTTAATATTTTTATTTTAATATTACCAGAAGGTGCTCCGCTTCGAATGATCTATAGCCGACAGCCTGCCTCGATAAATGGTCTATTTAACACAAAAAGAATTATTCAATTCGAACCAGTATTTACAGAGATTAGCGCTTCCAAACAAGCAAGCAAGCATGCATGCTTGAGCTTTTTAATATTAAAATAAATCTATCCTATAATTCTAGATGAACATACGTCATTCCACATCTGTTTATAATCATTATCCATTTTATTTGAAAAGAAGAAGGAAAGAAGAATTTATGCCAACTAAGTGTTTCTACAATTTTGCATTTTCTACAAAGCATACACAATATTTCGCCGTACTTTAGAAAATACATTGAAAGGAGTTTTCGAACCAAGTTTTAAGAGCACCGTGAAACAATAAAAAATCTGTAATGTGGACAAACAATTTTCATAAACACCGTGAAAGTTCCAAGACTTTGACCTTTTACAGTTTGACTTTACACGTTACGCTTTGACTTTACACATTACACTTTCACTTTACACATTACGCTTTGACTTTACACATTACGCTTTGACTTTACACAATACGATTCGACTTTACCCTTTGACCTTGAATAAACATTTGTAATTTACGTGTTTCGCCAAAACGTTTCAGGTCATCATCAGGTCTGATGGAGTTCCAGAATATCTCCCAGAGTGTGATGGCGATAATGGCCTGCAACCACGCGACTATTCAGCATCCAGGTATATAATTATAGCCTTTTAATTTTCTAGCAAATGAACCTTATTTTCTGAGGCACAGGTGCTATTGTTTTTTTTTCATGTGGTTGAGCGGCAACTTGGTAGGCGTGTTACCTGATAGTAAGCAATCAGAGCAGGTTTATAAGTCACGCACTTTAAGAATGATTACGGGATTGGTATCTTAGTAGAGTCGCCAACTATTACAAAAGAATTAGTATCTAATGTAATTGATATTCCTGTCGCAGGTCTAGAGGAAGAAATTCCTTAAGGAATGTCCAGTACCTATGTACCCCTTTTTATATATGTATTGGCAAATGTGTTATATTTTTAGTATACAAATGAATTTAGTTACTTTTCTCACTTGTCCCATTTAAATCTAAAATTGATGAGACTATATTATACACTCTACCTATACATACATATGTTTTAATATGTACATTCATTATTTCAGGTGCAAAATTCCCGTTTGTAATGAAACTCTGCTTTTCATCGTCGCGGCAAATTGGCCAAGGCAAGGGCCAAAACCCCAATAAGAGTCAAAATCAAAATCAAGATCAAAATAACCAGAGACAAGGTCAAAACAACGGCTTGGCTGAACATGAATACTAGTAAGAAATAAATTCACTTATGTATAGAAAAAAAAAGTATATAAAATCAAAGTGTTTTAAAAGACATGTACATTTTTTTTAATGGTGTCGGACCAATGTTGTATCGGATTGATATTTTAACTGGCAACACTGATGTTGTCTATGTGCATTAGTTTTCGTTGTTGGCAAGCCAAAGATTATGTGTTACCAGAGTGGGAGGAAATAATAATGTTAAGTTTCTCGGTTATTTGTAGTTTATGTGAAGTTTTGTCTGCACAAAGTAGGTAGGAGGCAAATTATAGTCAATACTTGATTATTATAAAACTTTAATCTCGAAATATCCTGCCATTTTCTTTTTTGTTTCGACATTTTTATATTATGTTTTTTTTTAGGTTTACTAGAAATCTTCGGCCTAGTTATGGTAATAGGCTTCGAAATAAAAATAATAATGCTTTTTTGTCTCTTTCTAGTCAAAATTGTATCGCATAATGTCACAGACTGACTCAGTTTAGAAGTTTTTTTGAAATCATTTCCTATCGAAATGTCAGTTTCTTAATCTTCGATAGTAGGGACCATAGATTTTAATATTGATTATCTCTATATTTGCTTGTAATTATTCAAATCGATGTGTGTTCTTCTAGGAGGAGTAAACTCATAAAATTATACCTATAGTATGAGAATAAATTATTTTTCTAATTTAAATAACAATATTGTTTTGTTATAATGATATATTACATGAGCTTAACATCAAGAAATTTATTTGCTTCTTTACTATCTAACTATTCATAGCACTTTTAGAAACTTTTTGGATTTTAAATTTAAATTCGAAAGTTTTCATATTTTCCGTTGTTTTCAAAGAAATCCTCTATATTTACCTACCTTATTTTCTACCTGACATAAATATTTTCCTAGCCAACATACTACACTGCATTTTCTTTTTTTTTTCATTTTTCTTTTCATTGTATCATACTAGGTTTTTGGTATATATTTTTTTATTTACGCAGAAAATTCATTATTGTCGAAACGAGTCCTAGTTGTCGAGCTTAAAAAACACTTTTCCTATAAAAACACACAATCGGAAACGCTTGAAAAATTTTAAATTTATTAAAAGCACTAATATAGAGATGTCAGTTTTTATATAACCTTAATGGATCAAAATATAGCAACAGCAAAAAAACTCTTGTTGGTTAGTGTTCGAAGGTGTCTTTTGTTTGTGTGACGTTTTTTAACGATCACGGCTGAAAAACAAACCGCAATACCTCGGTTTTGGCATACATTATAATGATTTTTAGTTAAAGTTTACAAAATGAATAATGGCCATACAAATAATTAAAATTTGAAGCTTATTCTTCCTTCTAAAATGATCATCTCAATACATTGATATTTGGTACCTCTTAGTAAGTTGAACTGCAAACCACAAAATCGTGTTTTTGTGTCTTTTGTCAAAAATATTTAAATGCCCATAAAACAATATTAAAGTATCTGAAAATATTTAATGTTTCCAAATGAAACCCGATATAACTTTCAGCTAAAAAACTATATATTTTTTAGCAATATCTATACCATTTTCTACTTTAAAAGCTACGTTGCTATATTTTGATCTTAAAAATTCAAAAATTATTTTGGATGATGAAAATATTTCTCTATTCTTATAGTAAATCTTTGTAAACATAATTTTCCTAAAAAAAAGATAATTTTAAAACGATTTTTCTAAAGAGTTTCCAATCTTTTCTACCTTCATCTCTAACTATGACTAAATTTTTCTAATAAAAAACCAAAAATTTGATTTTTTTCCCAACACCACCCAGTTTTCGTTCCTTGACTTATGTAAGCCAAAAATAAAGCCAAAGTCTATATGAGAAAGTTAGAACTAAAATAAATATGTATAAAACATATATATATATAGAAAATACTATTGTATGTATGTACATGGTAAGAGCTGAATAAAAAAATGTTTTGCATCGGTCCGGACAGACGGACTTTGGCGGAAAAGTTGTCTTTTTTGTCCACTAGATGGCACTGAATATTTCTAAATAATATTTAAAATGGAGTATTTAAGCTGTCATTATTCATTGTTGATTATTTAAAACTTTAAAAAAATATATATTAGATGTTTCTTTTTTTTTCACAAAGGAACACATCACTTAGTCAAATAATTTAGTTGTTATTCAAGTACAATTATGTACTAAAGTGTCATTATTCAAATAAAAAATAAAAAAATAGTAATAAATGATAAATGAGTGGATACTAAAGGCAGTTTTACGTATTTAAAATATTTTTTTCAGTTTTTAATAGAATGTGCGCGAGATTTGCATTTGCACTGTATTTTAAGTTTTCGAAAATTAAGTTTTCATATGTCTAATTATTTTCGTATGATTCTGTTTTCTGCTTGTCTTGAATATGGAATAGCCGTTGATATGATGTTGTATTTGTAAAAAAATAAAATAAATCATGTCTTGGTTTATATATATTTACAAAATGAAATTCATGGCCTGCTTTTTACAGTTCACTTTCACTTTTTATAAATTTATGAAAGTAAATTTGGCAATCATCAATTCAAAGATCAGCAGAGTAATAGAAAATTTTCTTTTTAAAAATCCGTAGTTGTATTTTTTTTTTTTTTGTTTTCGTTTTTTGACTATATTCAGAGAAGCTGCCTTGAAATCTCGCGCTGTCTAGTAGGAATATTATAAAATAGTGTAAATTAAATATAATATTTGTCGGAAGGAATGACATATCTTATGTGGATAATAAAAAGCGTATGTGTGCTATGTCAATTTGTAAACAGCTATATATACATGTAGATATGTCTAAGTGTATTATTTATGTACATTCGTGCACAACACCTTATATTTTTTGTGTGACAACACAATGCTTTTAAGCTTAAATATGAATAGATTTGTACTTAAAATACGCTGATCTAGATTTGTAGAATAATATAAAAATATATGATTGTAAGTCTAAGCCTGTTGTGCCCGATTGTACAGTTGCTTGTCCGATGGGAAATGTCAATTTCTTTTTATTTAGTTACGAATAGCGTACGTCCGTTTGTGTATAATATGCTTCGAAACTACATATCACAGTGACAAATAATAAAATTAGTGAAATGTATAGAGATACATAAAATACTTAGTTACATGTCTTTTTCACTTTATCACAGTTTTTGCTCAAATTTTCAGTTTCTTTTTCTTTTTTGTTGTTCTCTTACTATTTTTTATACCTTTTTTCTACTCATTAATTGACAAAACATTCGGTTAGGTACTTACATTTCACAGTATGGCCTTAAAAGGATACAGCAATACAATGTTATAACATTTCTCTTCGCCTCCCTAAAACAGATACGCTTCTCGAAACCTTTTTCGGTCCAAACTGAAACTTCAAAACATTCATTACTCACTAAATACTATTTGCTTCTAGCTAACGGCGTGAGGGGGCCCACACACACACACATATCAAGACGGACGGCACACACACACACAGGCACACCACTACGAGTGCGGGGGGGAGATTTGGGGTTGCCGCTATAAAACAAAAAAAAAATAGAAAAATTCACCCGCTTTCACCACATCCCTCATTCGAAAAAAGTTACCACAGAAATCGAAAAGCGGGCGATTTTTTCAAGGCGGCAACATTTTTGAATAATTCCTTATTTTTACAATTTGTGATTTAGATCACTCTTATAAAGACATTAACAGTTAGTTTTTTCTTAATATAATTTTAGACACAGTAACATGTTTTTTTTTTCATATTATTACACATTTATACATTTCCATTTTTTTTCTTTGTTTTCTTTGTTTTTTGTTTAGTGCGGAGCGATGCTCTGTTGAATGCGTCTGCATTTTGTTTGTGGACTTAGCAGTTTAGGTATCTATTAAGTAATATTCCCATTTAATTTGATTAATTAGCTTTTAGTTACTTATTATTTCTGCAGTGTTGTTTTCATCCTGATTAATCCACATTGACGTAAAACTGACCGGTTTGAAGACAGCACTGTTTCCTGTTTTAGTGAGGATTTTTTTTAGTAAAAAAATGATATTAATTTGTGAGTAATGTTGAAAGTACTTAGTTTTCTTTGTTGTTCCCTTTACTGGTGCGCAGTATGGGGCAACGAGTCCGCGCGTACATATACATAGAAACTCGGTTGTTTTGTAAAACATTACAGTTGTGAAATGTACAAGAAATAAAGAAACTGAGCTATATTATAGAAACGATTGTTTTATTTTTGGTTTTGGATAGACCACGCTTGTGCTTGTTTCTTAAGTTTGCACCGTTATCTCGGTAGAGATCTATCGACCGATTCAAATGTTTTAAGAACCAAAATTATATAAATGTAAGATAGTTTAGCACTCTTTAGGTTAGTAGTAAGTGTCATTGCAATGTCAATTATATTCGATTAGTGGATGAAAAATAAAAACAGTAAAGTTTTCTAAAAATTTTTCTTAAAAAATATAGCGATGATTCGATAAATAAGCCTTGCACAAGGATTTAGTATAAGGACAGATCCAATGGAGACACCATAGCACCTTAGTCGCGCTGGTTAAAGAGTAAAATATTTTTTGTTTCGTGTCTAGAAATAGATGTTTGTATGGTGTGGCGTTGTAGCTCGTCTATATTACTGTTTATGAGTAGTTCTACTTGAATGTCTATTTATTTGCGAATATTGCTAGCAATCAATTAACGATGTCAAATTACATAAACAGTTTTATAGCCAGCATTCGACTAGTCTTTAATATAGCTGAATTTAATAAATGTTATCAGGTTATAGATGCATATCTTTTTCTCTAGGAATATTTTCGAATGGAAAAATTAAATGTTCTAGGATTAGGACCTGAATGTCATGATAGCTAACCATTGTGTTGAATGTACAAAGAAAATTTAGAGAATGTTGTTTTTTTTTAATTGTTAATAAATAATTTAATGTACCGACTAAATGACACTATTCTACTCAAATAAACTCATGATGAATTAACACACGTTTTAAACATTAAAAATGACTGCTCAGATATGGAAGTTAACATTATT